TCTGAAGTGGGCTCTGTGCTGACAGCAGAGAGCCCAATGCAGGGTTCAAATCCATGAACTATGTATGAGATCATGACTTGAGCTGAAGCCACTTAACGGACTGAGCCAACCAGGTGCCCCTAAAAAAATTATTAAAAAAAAAATAATAACAAAGTTGAAGGACTCACACTTCCCAATTTCAAAGCTTACTACAAGCCTACAGCAATGAAGACAGTGTGGTAGTGGCATAAAGATAGGCCTACAGTTTAGTTGAGAGTCCAGAAATCTTCACATTTATGATCAATTGATCTCCAACAAGAGTGCTCAGACAATTCAGTAAGAATAGTCTTTTCAACAAATTGTGCTGGGATGACTGATATCCACATTAAAAAGAATGAAGTTGAACCCCTCCTTCACATCATATACATATGTTAACTCATTTTCCACACTAAACTCCAAGAGATCTTTTCAAAACATATATCTGGTCATACTGTAATCATATGATTTCCATAGTGCTTAGGATATAGGACTCTAAATGGCCTGACTCTAAGAACAACCTCTCTGGATTCATCTCATACCAGGCTCTCCCCAACTCTTTGCATTTCGACTACACTGCTCTTCTTTCCCTGCTCTACCTGGAACACTCTTCACCTCTTATTTCTATTTACCCTTTTTTGTTTTAAGTTTATTTATTTATTCTGAGAGAGAGCGTGACAAGGGCAGGGAGAGAGGGAGAGAGGGAGAGAGAGAATCCCAGCAGGCTCTAGGGCGACAGTGCACAGCCTGATGCGGGGCTCAAACTTGAGAGTCTGCAAGACCATGAACTGAGCTTAGACCAAGAGTCAGATGCTTAACTGACTGAGCCACCCAGCTGCCCCTTATTTCTATTTACTCTTAAGGTCTCAGATCTAAGGTCATTTCCTCAGAGATTTTTCCTTGAATTTCATCAGCTTAGGTTACATCCCTTTATTATATGCTTTCCTGCACCATACACTTAGTATATCATATTGATTAACAACATGAACTCTAGAGTCTGCTTGGATTCTGTTCCTGACTGCCATCTTCTCACTGTATGACTGTCAGCAAGTCACTTAACCTCTTCAGGCTTTGGTCTCCTCATCTATAAAAAATGTTTATGGATTAAATCTGTGATCCTCAAATGAAGGGATTTTTACCCCCCACCCTCCACCCCTGAGACATTTGGCAGTGTCTAGTGACATCGCACTATCAGTATCTCGTGGGTGGAGGCCAAGGACACTACTAAACATCTTACAGTGAAGATCACAGTCCTCTATAACAAGGTATTATCCAGCCAAAATGCCAATAGTACAGAGGCTGAGAAACCCTGGAATAAATGACTGAATATTTGTTAAGTGCTTAGAACAATGTATACCATATAGTGAATACCATATACGTGTTAGCTATTATTATCTGTCTACTTTAGACTACAGACACCACAAATAAAGAATTAAGTTGGGTTTGCTTACTTTGCTTGCTGCCACCTTCATACTACCAAACATGAGTGCATGGCACCTAATGTGTACTCAGTAAAAATTTACTGATTGAATACATTTTTATAATGTTTGGGTTTTCTTTTAATGATTATATATTACTTTTATTTATTTATTTTTTTTAATGTTTATTTTGAGCGGAAGAGAGAGCGAGGAGGGGGGGGCAGAGGAAGAGAAAGAATCAGGCTCAGCACAGAGCCTGATGCAGGGTTCAATCTCATAAACCATGAGATCATGACTTCAGCTGAAATCAAGAGTCAGAAGCTTAACCAACTGAGCCACCCAGGTGCCCCAAGCATTTATTACTTTTATTAGAAAATACTAAAAGCTTGAATCATAGATAAAATATTTTTAAAACATAAACCACATTGTAACAGAGCAGTCTCTGAATGATACATGATTACCAGTTCAAACTTCTATGGCTGAAGAAAAGAGGATTATTACCTTGGTTCTATTTTTTCTGTTGTAGAATTTCTCATCAAGTTGTTCTGGACATGTCGGAACTGCAATATACCAAAAAAATGAGAATGCTCTTCCCCACCCTCCTTACACCTACCTCTTGCTGGTCACTCTAAACTTCTGGCATAGAATGTTTAAGTTTAGTTTGCTTAACAAGCAAGCCAAAAGTAGGCTATCAGAATGATAAGCCAAAGATTTACTTTTGATTTAGATGCTAATGCCCCCCCCCCACATCCATTGCTGCACTTAAAAGTGGTGTTAATGGTATTACAACCAACTACTGTCTAGTAGCGTTCTAGAAATAAAATTGTACGGGCTACTCCTATTTCTAATCCTACTCTTACATCCTCTGCTCAAAGGAAAGGACAAATAAGTTTCAAAGAAAAAAAAAAAAACCAAGTATTACTGTTAGTACCTAAGGAACTAAGGAGAAATCTGAGACAAATTACTTGACACTTACTATGACCTTAAGAAGTAAAATTCTCCTTGTATCACCTGCACATTCTGTGTTAAGAGAGCTGGTCTAATGTTTCTGTTTTGTGTTTCTTTCACGAAGCCCTTTCTACTTATTTCGCAATCTTGTACTACGTTATCATCTTGATATCATCTCAAATCCAAAGTAAGCTGGTGACAGGCAAAATGCATGCCAGTTTGCATTCCGTATTTATTTTTCTACCTTCATCTTTTTTCATCCCTTCCCCTCCCCACTCCCATTTAATGTATTCAGTACTGCTGGCTAACATTGTTTCCAAACCCACCTGTGGCTTTCCCTTCTCACCTGCTGGTGGTAGTCCCTCTGCTTGATGAACTTGTCTACCACCTTCTCTACTTGTCTGTCACATTCCACCTGCAAGTATTTTATCAGGGTGTAAAGTCTTCCTGGCCCATAATATGTCTCCACTATTGGTTGGTGGGTCTCTACAATGCGGGCAATACCTAGAATGGAGAAAATGAAAGGACTGGATTCCAAATGTTCCTCCCACAAAATAAACTCCTTTCTTCTATCCAGGACTTATCTGGGGTCTAACTCAACCCTTTTAGACCTGTTTCACCACCCAAAATGAATACAGATGGTTCTTGCCAGTGCTAGGAGTTGCTAAGCAAATTTGTCTGTTAAATATGTACAACACTTGATAAACTAGAAGGCATTTAAGTTACATTGAGAGTTTCAGTAGAAGCATCTTTGGAAATCAGCATTACTCTCTTCCTAGTAATTCACTTAAGTACTAAATTTACTCTTAGAGTTTGGGTCTTGAGGAATAGGGAGGATCAAAACACTTGAGAGACTCTAATTTTTGCTAATCAGATACTGAATAGGAAGTTACTTCTCTGATAAATAAATACACGGCAAACTACAGGATTAAACTGAAGGTTAGCAGGGAGAGAAGAAACACTAGGATGTGGGCATTACGTAGGAACGCCTTCAGTCTCCCTCAAGTGGAGAACGAGACTTACCTTCAAACAGAAGAGTGAGTGTGTCTGCAAAGATGACTGCAGCCCTCCGGTCACGCATGTCTGTCCCCAGCACCAACAGTAGATTCTCTTCAGCTTTACTGGCCACCTGAAAAAAGTGGAAAATCCACAGGAGTTCTTGGATCAAAGGTTGGCCTCAGTTTTCCAAAAAGATCTCCCATTGACTTTCTTTTTCCCATGTTTGCTTTGATGCTTGAAAGCCTACACAGCACACAGGAACCTCCCAGTGGGCTCGGGGTTGTCTGGGCCTCAGGCAAGACAAAGAACTTGAACACAGTGGTAACTCTTCTTCAACTCAGAGTTGTAAATAATGCTTTCCTTTTCTTTGAAGATATGTACTGCCATTAGCCAAAGGCAGAGAGTCCCCAGTTTCACTAATCTCCAAGTATAATAAAGTTATTAATGGTGTTTTATTGAGCAGGACAAAGAATCTGGGTACCACAGAAGGGATTTTTAAAGGATTAAAAATAAAAGCCATTTCTAGGCCCCAGATGGCAAAGTACTGATAAAAAAAAGTGCCATAAAAACGGTTACATATATGTATAATGCATTTTCTTTTTAGCCAGCTCCATCTTTCCCTTATTTTATTTAATTTTTTAGAATGTGTAAAACACACACACTTAAACATTCATAAGGAATAAAGGAGTGTTCAGTGAAAAGCCGTTCTTCCTCTCACCTACTCCTCTTGGTCTCCTAAAATCTCTTCTCCAGAAATAACTGTTGTTAACCCTTTGAAAAATATCCTATGCTTATACAAACATGTATTTTTATTGCCACTTCTGTTATTTTTTGGAAAATGTTTATTTATTTTGAGGGAGAGCCTACACACAAGTGGGGAAGGGGCAGAGAGAGAGAGAATACCAAGCAGGCTCCACATTGTCGCTGCAGAGCCTGATGCGGGGCTCAATCTCACCAACCCTGAGATCATAACCCAAGCTGAAATCAAGAGCTGGATACTTAACCGACTGAGCCACCAAGGTGCCCTACCACGTCTATCATTTTAAGCAGAAACAAAAGTATTTAGTCTAACTTAACTATACATCAGAGCATGAAGTATGTCACCATGTATGCATCTGTCTCATTTTTTTTTTTTTTTTTTTTTTTTTTTTTTTTTTTTTTTTTTAAATTTCTAGTTGGTTTTAGTAAATGGTAGCACCCCATCACATGCCTCACCAGTTCAGGGTGAGAATTTTCTAATAAAGCTTTTCTAACATTAAAACTGCTTCCTTTCGTATCATCCTAAGTTCTACCCCTGAATTGAGGGGAGAGACTGGATGGGCCCTAAGTTTCTGCGGGAAATCTAAAGTGGTATGTTCCCTCTTTGTAAGGAGATGGGACAGGAAGAGCAAGTTCTAGGCCCCAAAGAAAGGACTAACAAGCAATAAATATGTTGCTCCATCCTCGTGAGGCCTGCCTGCCCTGAAAAAGGAACTACATCCTTAACCCTCAAGTGTTTCATTACTTCTTGCAGCAGAGAGTCCTAGGCTTCTCTTAGAGCCCCTACCCTCCCTCTACCACCAGCGGTAGTGAGGTAGTGAGCCAGTGCACGGCTGGCCTCAGCCATCTTGTGCATGTCATGCTTCTTCTTGATCACAGGGCCCTGGTTGTGAAAAGCCTCCAACAGCTCATGGGACAACTTCTCTGGCATCAGTACCTGCTGGTGCTTCTTCTCCTGGCACTCAGTAATCATCCACTGTCTCATTTTTCTTAATGCAGAACAGTGTTCCATTAGAGAGAACTCTGGGAGATGTGGCAGAAGGCACTCTGACATATAGTTACAAACAATAACCCTCTGCATACATGCCTGCTGAGATTTGCTTCTTTCCATCTAAGGTCAAGGGAAAGAAGCTGAGACTTTAACTGAAATCTGTTTCTTTTTCAGGATTTAATGATAAGTGACATCACTTGCTTCATCTCAATGTGGCTTATTTTGAGCCTCAAGCCTGGTTATGAAGTCTTAAAACAACTAACCAACAACTCTGAATGCTCTTAAAAGAAGCCAGTTCTTGGCTGACAGCTTAAAAAGTGTGATTCAACTTGTCAGAGAATTTGCATTTTAGTTTTCCTACATTTTCACCTAGTTGTTGGAAATGAATGTGCATCAATAGCAGTTTCAGCCATGACTAGTATGCAGCAGGCTGGCAACACGTAAGTGTTGAATGAATGTATACATCCAGTCCTGCTACACTACAGGCAAGAGAAGGAAAGGGCAAAGTGAGAAAGAATCCACAGAAACTGGATTGATACAGCGTCCAAATCTGCAGTCAGAGAACCATACCACTAACCTACCAAGCAATCGGGGTCATACCTGCTTGCAAAGGTATTCTGAGAACTTGCTTAATCCCTCCTCATGCAGACCCAGGAGTGGAAAGATCTTGAAGAAGCGCTCCACCTGAGGCAAATCCCCTTCCTTGGTAGCAATGGCAAACTTCTCTGTTACAATGGCTTTGAGACGCTGCTCAGCTTCCTGTAGCAATTTCAGGTTGGCGTCAATCATGCTGCCTGTGCAATGGGGGGAAATTGAGAATTAATATAAAGAATGGTACTGTGTCAGGTCTACGCCACTTTGTGCACCACTATTCATTAGAAATACACAGAGAAGTTACAATCAAGTAAAAGAAATAAGATCTATGCACAAATAACTATAACAAAACAAGCGTATGGTAAGTGTAATAAGAAAAGCGTGCACAAGTTACATTTCTGATTGAATTAGAAAAGTCTTCCCAGAAATGATATCCCATCTTTTAAAGATGAGCAGGGGTTTGATATCTGAGTAAGAGGAACATAAGAGGAACATACATTCCAGACAAAGGGAATGAGAGAAGCAAAGTAACAGAAACAAAAAGATGAAGAGAAAAAAGTACATACATGTACAGTAGTGCAAGTAATATACACTCTGGCATATAGAGAACTCCATATATGTGCACAATGAATGGATTCACGAGTGAATAGTACAAAGCCAGGTGAGAAGGCCTAGAATACCAGGCTAAGATTTTAATTTTATGAGTAGACAATAGGGTCAAGTGGAAAGAACCCACTGATCAGAGAACAGATCTGGACTCAGTTTCCTTTTCCGTAAAATGGGAATAACAACACATACCCTAGGATGGACTACAATCTATATAGGGTCGAATACCAGACAAGGAAATTGCCTAACAGAGGTCCTTTTCATGGTTCAGTTTGCCTTATTCAGATTATAGATGCTTATGACTAGAGTAGAAATCAACAGTTTGGGATAGATACTTACCTTCTTTGCCCTGTCGGCTGAGCTCAATGACTGATTTGTCCAGGCACAAGTAGCGATGAATATGGGCAGCAGCCTGCTCATAATCTTCATTCCTCAAAGCAGTCTGAACTCCATCCATGCAGAACTTCAGGTCCAAGATATCATCAGCTCTCTGAATGGCTTGATAGAGACGGTTCTGCAAAAAGACTTGGTGCTTAGAAACAATGTCCTATTCTTTCAAAGACATCTCTTCAGAAGGTATGGAGATTCAGGGACAGAATCTGGTTAACCAGAAGCCCTGAACCACTACCACTCACAAAACTGTTATTGACAGATGATCAATAATACTGACAGGTATCATACAATTTTATTTATGTGACCAGAGCAATCATTTTAATGGAAGCAGGAACAGGGATAAACCATATTTACATTTGGCTTATGTTAAATTAATAATGGAACCAGAGTGTATTTGATATTTTGGCAACGGCATTGTAAACCATGTAATAAAATAAACGAAAGATATGTATTTTTCTTTTAGAATTAAGCAAGAATTTGTTCTTAATGTTTGTTATTTTTGAGAGAGAGAGAGCGAGTGAGAGAGGGAGGGGCAGAGAAAAGGGAGACACAGAATCCGAAGCAGGCTCTGACCTGTCAGCACAAAGCACGATGAGGAGCTCGAACCCACGAACCGTGAGATCATGTCCTGAGCTGAATTCGCACGCTTAACCAACTGAGCCATTCAGGCACCCAAGCAAGAATACTTTAAAGAAACTTTAATATGTGACTTGGTCGCTGTGTGACTATAGTGTTTCATGGTAAGTTATTTTAGCAGGATCTAGACAGAGTGGGAGGAATTATCCTATTTCATGGGGGCAAACTGAGGCTGGGAATGATGTATTCAAGAGCCCAGATCATATGCTATTCACTACTGTAGTCATTAATGATTTGCGGCACTTGAAATGTGGCTAGACACACTTCACATGTGGCTAGTCCAAATTAAGATGTGTAAGACACACACTGGATTTCAAAGACTTAGTAGAGAAATAAGGCAAAATACCTCACAAATAGCATTTTATAGTAATCATGTTATTTTGGACATAATGGGTTAAATAAAGCATATTATTATAATTATTTTTACCTATTTCTGTTCTTTTAAAAAAATGTCTACTAGTGGGGCGACTGGTTGGTTCAGCTGGTAGAGCATGCAACTTTTGATCTCAGGGTTGTGAGTTCAAGCCCCATGTTGGGCACAGAACCTACTTAAAAATAAAAAAATAATAATAATAAAGTAGAGATGGTTACTATAAAATCTAAAATTACATATGTAGTTCATATTCTTTTCCAAGCTGGATACTTTTATTTCATTTTCTTGCCTGACTGCTATGGCTAGAAACTCCAGTACAGTATTGAAGAAAATCAAGAGCTAACATCCTTGTTTTATTCTTGATTTTAAGGAGAAAGCACCCAGTCTTTTACCAGTATGATGTTAGCTGTGGGTTTTTCATAGATTGCCTTTATCAGGTTGAGGAAATTCCCTTTTATTCCAAGTTTTATGAGTTTATGCTTTTTCCGAGTTTATCAGATGATCATGTAGTTTTGTCCTTTATTCTATTGATATGGTAGATTATATTAACTGATTTTCAGATGTTAAAGCAACCCTACATTCTCACTCAGTCATAGTATAATCCTTTTTATATGTTGCTATATTTGGTTTGCTGGTTTGTGGTGTTTTGAGGATTCTGAAATCTTTACTCATAAAAGGTATGGGTCTGAAGTGTTCTCTTCCTGTGCTATCTTCAGCACAATATCAGTATCTTGCATTAGATTTCTACTGAATGGTGCTGCTCTAATTTTTAATGTCGTGGCTTTTCTACTGCCCTCTACTAATTCGAACATCAGAAGTTCAATGGGATTACCTTAGCCAGGTCAAGCTGACGGACTTTGCTGGACACATTCTCAGCTAGATTGCAGGTAAAGGCGATCATTCCAGCTAGCTGCTTTGCATCTCCTTCAATCAACTGCAGGTTGGGACTGGAGACATATGTCAGCACACACATATCCACAGGGGGAGAAGGAATGAGTAAGAGATGGAAAGTTTTTTGTAGATGGAGATCATGTCTTCTATTCTCTTTGTACCTCCCCACAACTTTTAGCTCAGTTCGCTCTACTCACAGCTTTTTCTTTTTCTTTCTTTTTTTAAAAGTGTATCTATTTAGCAGCGTCTGGGTGGCGCAGTTAAGTATCCAACTTCAGCTTCGATCACGATCTCATGGTTCATGAGTTTGAGCCCCACACTGAGCTCTCTGCTGTCAGCACAGACCCTGCTTCAGATCCTCTTCCCCTCCCCCCCCATTTGCGTACTTTCTCTCTCTCTAAATAAATAAATAAACTTAAAAAAAAGTTTACCTATTTATTATTTTGAGAGACAGAGAGAGCATGAGCACCCTCATGTGCATAAGTGGGGGAGGGGCAGGCAGAGAGGGAGAGAGAAGGCATCCCAAGCAGGCTTTGTACTGTCAGCACCGAGCCCAACCTGGGGTCCAAACCCATGAACTGAGAGATCATGACCTGAGCCAAAGTCAGACGTTTAACTGACTGAGACACTCAGGTACCCCTACTCACAGCTTTTTCTAAAAAGTATTTTACTGAAAACTCAGGCCAATATTAAATAAAAAATTACTCTCTATGAGTACTAAAGACACCCCTAAATAGGTACTGCTAAAGAACTAGAGAACAGATGCTTCCAATTGCTGAGTATAAAATACACTAACCAACAATCACAGAGGGTGAAGAGGTCAAAGAGCAATTTTTATGGCTAACAAATACACAAAGTTTGTAAGAACAATGGTTCTCAAACTTGAAACATACATCAGAATCACATGGTATGCTTGTTAAAAGCGTGCCAGATTCCTGGGCTTCACACCCAGAGTTTCTGGTTCAAGAGGTTTTGAGTAGAACCTTGTAATTTGCATTTCCAATAAGTTTCCAAATGAGTTTTGGTACTTGTTGGTCCAAGGATACTTTGACCAGTTGATTATACCCTTAAGTGTTCATTTTACCTTGAAGTAACCCTCCTCTACACTTCAAAATCAACTGGCATTTTATAACAGAAAGTTAGGAAAAACAGGAACTGGCATTTTATAACAGAAAGTTAGAAAAAACAGTGGACCTTGCTGGAATTACAATGGCTCTTGTTGAGATGGAGACTCACCCCATCCGGTGTAGAGTGACCATTTTACTTTCAATGGTGTTTTGCTGTTCCAAAAGAGCATCCAGTTCTCTCTCTACCACTTTCTGAAAAATAGACAAGCATTTTGTCATCAGAATGGTCATAAGGAACTTTAAAAAATGATCTAACCCAACCACTTAGCTGAAGGGTGAATCCCATTCCAAATGTCTTTCCTTTCACTAAGTTCCCCTAAGGCTTTAATGAACAATACTTCATTTTTGCAGTGATCACATTGCATAATGGTTGCTACCTTCTGTATATTTTCATTCCATTTAGCAGATAAATACCACAAAGGAAAGGGAACTTTTATTCAGTATCATTATCTTAGTGCCTAATGCAGGAAAGCATTTAAAATATAATGGCTAAACAAATGAAATTTCTTAAGTGGTAGTTACAAAGAGTCTCTTCGCAGTGTACAGTGATACAATCAGTACCCGGAAAGAATAAGTATATAATTGTCTCAGCCAAGTTATTTACTGCATCACTGCAACTAATGTAACCTTCTTACGCTTGAGTTTCTTGATCCGTAAAATGTAAGAGTATCCCAAAGGACTGTTGTGTGAGCCAAACAAGATAACAAACATAAACTGCTTAACGCAGTATGGTGGCATATTGTTCAATAATAGCCATTATTATCATCTATGCATTTCTATTAAAATAATTCAGTAGGATCCAGAGGGAAACTTCCCTGGACAGTGATCAGATACAAATACAGAACTGATATTGTTCTGTCTGGAAGATGGACTTAAATTTCCTTTAAAAATGGACTAACTCAATGAATGCAAGCTTAGGAATGTTAACAGTACTGAATTTTATGGAGTGCCTGGGTGGCTCAGTCAGTTGAGAGTCCGACTCTTGGTTTTGGCTCAGGTCATGATCCCAGGGCTCTGGGATGGAGCCCTGCATGAAGCCCGGTGTTGGGCTAGGCGCCGAGTGTGGAGCCTGGTTTATTCTTTCTCTCTCTTCCTGTGCCCCTCTCCCCAACTCATGCACTCTAAAATTAAATAAATAATAAATTCTTAACACTGAATTTTATAAAGCACATCTTGCTGAAAAATGTTATCATAGGGACGCCTGGGTGGCGCAGTCGGTTAAGCATCCGACTTCAGCCAGGTCACGATCTCGCGATTCGGGAGTTCGAGCCCCGCGTCAGGCTCTGGGCTGATGGCTCAGAGCCTGGAGCCTGTTTCCGATTCTGTGTCTCCCTCTCTCTCTGCCCCTCCCCCGTTCATGCTCTGTCTCTGTCCCAAAAATAAATAAACGTTGAAAAAAAAATTAAAAAAAAATTAAAAAAAAGAAAAATGTTATCATAAACTGCTCGAGTTGGTGCAAGTTAATGTTTGAAACTATTCAAAGATATCAATAATCCCCCCTTGCTCTTGCTGAAACTGTACTCACAACCTTAATTAAAAATTTAGTTTAGGGGATGCCTGGATGGCTTAGTTGGTTAAGTCTCTGACTTCAGCTCATGTCATGATCCTGGGGTTCATGTGTTCAGAGCCCTCCATCAGGCTCTGTGCTGACAGCCTGACACCTGCTTCACATTTTATGTCTCCCTCTCTCTCTGCCCCTCCCTCGCTCACACTCTTTCTCTTGCTCTCTCTAAAAGAAACACTAAAAGTTTGGTTTGGGGAGGGGGGGTGCCTGGGTGGCTCAGTCGGTTAAGCATCTGACTTCAGCTCAGGTCATGATCTCACGGCTTGTGGGTTCGAGCCCCGCGTGGGGCTCTGTGTTGACAGCGCAGAGCCTGGAGCTTGCTTCAGATTCTGTGTCTCCCTCTCTCTCTGCCCCTCCCTGGCTCGTGCTCTCTCTAAAAATAAATAAACATTTAAAAAAAATTTAAAGTTTGGTTTAGAGAACAGCTACTAAATGTTTATTAATTAATTAATTTAGAGATAAAGTGCAGGGGGGCGGGGAGAGAATCTCAAGCAGGCTCCACCCTCATCCCCATGACCCTGGGATGATGACCTGAGCCAAAATCTAGAGTTGATGTTCAGCTGACTCAGCCACCCAGGCGCCCGCTACTAAAACTTTAGATCAGAGCTTGGATCTCTTTCTTCTGACTGGCAAGGAACCCAAATGATAGTCACAAATATACTGACAGCATCAGGTTGCCACGGATAATGAAGGAGGCTGTAAGGAATCTTCAAGAGAATACAGTCCATCCTCCTTATTGGCCAGAAAGCAGGGGCCCGAGGGATGAAAGTCACTTGTCCAAGATTAGACAGTTGTACCTGTCTTTAAATCTCAAGCTTCCACAAAGCTGTACACTTACCGAACTCCAGTTACACCCCCAAATCTTTTCCCACAAAAATAAGTCTTAAAACGCTTCAAGTTTATTTGCAATAACTTCCTCCTTAAATATTTGAGATAACACGGTGAAAACGTTTCCTAATTTTTATATTGCTAAGTCAACGCAAGGGAGCCTTTAGTCTTATTTTGAGAAGCGAGTTGACCTACGCTGTCAGTCTAACTACTCCGGTAGAAAAACCTACATTAAGGGCCAGGCAAATAAGTGGGGTGGGGACCAGGAGTGGAGCAGACCGCCCGGATAACAGGGAAAACAAGCTTAGGGGCATCAGTCAAAGTGAATAGAGACGTCAGGTCCCGCCAAATACACTCAATTACACTCCTGCTTCTTCAATAAGTGCTGTTTTGTTTCCCTCGGCAGAGGCACAGAGAGAACTTCCCACAGCCCGATTTCCCGAGACTGACAAGTCCTAAGCCCATCGCCTCTGGCTAGACCCCCACCTCCTCGCCGCAGAGCCGTTCGTATACATCCTCCAGCTCCTGCAGCTCGGTCAGGGAGCGAATGAGCTCGGTGGAGATTTCCGAGCAGCGGCCTCCTCCCATCCCCTCAGGCGGAGAAATCCCTGACAGCTTCTGAGGGGAATCGAGGTCCGCCATCTTGTTCTCCATTTCGCGCTTCCGGCTCCGCGAGGCCCCCTCCTCGTTTGCGCGCCAGGTCTTTTGGGCTGCCCACGAAATGCCCGATAGATTTATGGTTTGTTTTGTTTTTTAAGTCCACCTTAAAAGGTCTATTTTTTATAGTCTCCTGGGAAAAGCAACGGCCATAAGGTATGTTTAACTAATTTTTAATGCTGAGTCAAAGAAAGACAGAAACATCAAAAAAAAAAAATTACTTATACATTCTTCAGGCGCCTGTTGGGGACTGTTTTACGTCGCGTGCCCGCTTTTAGGTCCCTGCTTTAAGAGCTAATGGCGGAGCCTGGCGGGTTGAAGTTGGCGGTGGCCTAGGCCTTGAAGGAGTTCAGCATCTGTCGGATATCCACGCCATCCTTCCTGAGGCAGGGTAAAGAAGCAGCCTTCCGACTTCCCCGGGCTTGGGGAGGCAGAGAACGGCTATGTAGGAGGGTTAGCTGAACGTTTGGCAGAGGTCTTTAAAACAGCCTAGGCCCGTAAGGTCCCGGCAAAGGACGAGGAGGAGGTGGAGGGGAACGCTTGCGTACGAAAATGGCTTTCAGGAGTCGTTTCCCACTTCCTTTTACAAGGGGGGAACGAAGCCTGGGTCAAAATAAGATTTCTAGAATTCTCCCTGCTTTTTGCCCCTGGAGGAGGTGTGAGCTGGGGCAAGACGGACGTAAAGGACACACTAACTGTAAGGTGGGACGACCTAGCGTGTTAAAAGCGTAAATAACGGGAACAGTTTTTGGAGCCAAGACCCTATTTTGAATTTGTGTTTTGGTAATGGGGTAACTGTTTCCTCCACTGATTTTCAGTTTTATCATGTATAAAGTGGGGGACAATAATATTTATTTTGAAGACATTGCGAGTTTCAATGCGGTGATGTATCTTTGGCGCAAGAAGAAATGGGGGCAGCAATCACAGGCTCATCTTTTAGTAGTCAGAGACAGGAGATAGAAGTGGGGAAAATCACAAAATTTACCACATTTTGGCTGTTAGTGTGGTTCCTGGTATATAGTTCTTGTAGTTTTAGAATGAACTTCCTTCACAATGCAACTTCTGCTACTGATGAAAGAATAATTGGGGAACCTGAATCCAACCAGGTTTGGGGGAAATGAACTTCACAGACTAACGGATGTCATCAGTTATAAAGGAACTGGAAACTAAATTGAGTTCTTAAGGAGTTAGAATGTAGAGTTGGCTGGGGAACTTTTCAGGGCTTTTGGAAGGGGCCTGTACGCCCCCCCTTTTTAAAATAGCATTTCTTTACATTTAGTATAGTCAATCCTGCAACATGGATCTTGTTGACAACATGATAGGGTTTCATTACAAATTTTGTTGATAACTGCAGTTTATGCAGAAATGACGTTTGAAATTTTATAACCACAGAGGATGCAAGAGAATAAATTTACTTTTGTTTGAGAATCACATTCACTTTTTTTCTTGTTTCTTTTTTTTAAATATGAAATTGACCACATTACTACTTTTCAATTGAGAACAATTATAATCTATTCTTTGCTTCTTTTCCCTCAGACTTTAAGCTGAGAACAACTTTCCCTGGAACTTTTACAGTGTATATACGCCCTTCTGGGGATGTGGGTGTATGTCTGTGTCTGTTCGTTTTCACTATTTTGCTTCTTGTAGGTCATTTCCCCACTCTCTTTTTCCACTTTCCTTCTTCACTACCATCCTAGAAGAACATTAAAAATGTTCCTTAGTTTCAAGAAGGAAAATTTACATCTCTCAGGACCCATATCCAGAGTGGAGGATTTGATCCTTTCCTCTCAACCATTTCTGGGTTGGGCAAAAACCGTTTCTGTGACTATTATTTATGAGGACGCTTACTCATAATTTTCTTTTCTCATTTAACAAAATCAAATTTTTATGTTAATTACATAGTGATTACATTGATCTCTTGCTTTTTGTCTGTAAATAATTGAAAAAATAACTTTTCTAGCAATAACTGCATAGCTGTAGTTTTAGGTAATTTTATGGTAAAGAAAGGTACATCAGTTTGCTTTTGCACTCTTTAGTCCTGTTGAATGAAAAGAATCCTTTCTTGTGACTGTACAGTCTTTTAGAGAGGTCTGAAATAACCGGAATTGAGTGTTGTTTTAGTTTTTGATGGTGAATAGTTTTAAATTTTAAATTCTAATCATCAAATATTGAGCTAGATAAGAGATGCAAATGGAGACTACACTTAAGTTACCATTTTTATCTAGCCAAGGTCTGGTTGTGGGGAAATAGGGACTCAGATTTCTGGGGCTGTAGATCGGTAGAGTTTCTTTGAAAGGTAATTTGGCAATATCTATCCACATTTCAAATGTATGAATCTCTCAGTACTGCAGTTTCACTTACAGGGATTAATCTTAATTAAAAATTAAGATAGATTAAAGATTAAAGATATATGCATACACGTATAAATGACCTATAGAGGAGGGATTTTCTTGGCAGCAACGTTCATAATAGCAAGAGATTGGGAACCTGAATGTTTATCAGTAGGGTATTGTCTAAATGATCCTTATATACCCATTCAGTGGAATACTCCACAGCTGGAAAATAAAAATGAGAAAGCCTTTTGTTTACAGCTATCTCCAAGGTAAAGTAATAAAAAGTAAGTTGCAGGATAATGTGAGTGTACAATATATAGTGCCCAACCATTAGTTAGAAAGAAGAGAAAATAATAGTATTATATTCTCACTTACAAATGCAGAAAATGTCTGGAAGGACATGATACATAAGTTAGTAAAACTGATTTTCCCAGGGGGGAGTACCGAACGGAGCTTTTTGCTGTGCTTTTTAAGAATTTTGATCCAAGTGCTTGTATAGCCTATGCAAAATAAATAAATGTAGAGGTGCTTAGTTTCTGTGACTGTAAAGGCAAATAGTGTTGTATTAATGGTACCGATTCCAGCGTTTTGTTAGTGGCTTGTTAGTCCCACTTGTTAGTGACCTCAGGCAGGTGATTTAATTTCTTAACCTCAATTTCCTCAGCTATGTAATTAGTGTAACAATGAGTTATTTATAGATTTCTTGTGAGATTAGAGACAAAAGTTTATAGCATAGTGCCTGGAATGTAGAATGCACTCCAGTTATAAATATGTTTGTCACTAGGCCTTACTCTCTGGGTTCTACCTTCATCCATAAGTTCTTATATAAAAATTTTTTTTTATTTAGCATTTTATTATTACTATTTTTTTTATTTTCTTAATTAAAAAATTTTTTTAACATTTGTTTTTGAGAGAGAGACACAGAGTGTGA